GCGCAGGTGCATTTGGTAGATCGACGTCGGAAATGTGATGAGGATTGGGAGTGAAAGGCGAAGAGGCTCTGATGGAGCGCACGACAGGGACGACGTCTCAGACAACGAGGGGATTCACGTTGTCATCGACGACTAGAATCAAGGTTCTTCACTCTCTTGCTCGTCGCTATTCTTTTTTCGAGTCTCTGTTTGTTCCAGGTTCTCGAGGCTGGAACCACGACTAGAATCAAGGTTTTTCACTTTCTTGCTCTTCGCTATTCAACCGAAAATATGGTTTTGATCATGTTTTGGTGGGATCGTGCAGGGACGTACACCTGGAGCAAGCCTGTGATGAAAAGAACGCACCCTTCTCCTCGGGACAGCCACAGCTCCACGGCCGTCGGGTCTAAGCTCTATGTGTTTGGTGGTACTGATGGAACCAGCCCGCTAGACGATCTCTTTGTTTTGGATACTGGTAAGCGAGTTCTATCGATTTTTTTTTTCTGTTTCTTATCTTCCGATGCAGCTACCAACACCTGGGGGAAACCTGACGTTTTTGGTGATTATAATAAACATATATTATGTAAAAGGAACTTTCATTATAAATATTATATTTATAATGAGTGTACCTAAGTAACACATACTTTATTAAGAGGAGAAATTATATAGTTTAATAAATCATCAAATAATAAGATTTTTATCAATTATATAGAGATTTCAAATAAAAGAAAAAATTAGTTAATAAAAAATGACTCATCTGGCCATGGGATCCCACAGTGAGAAATTCCATTTATAGAATATCCAAGACTTCAGTCAACAATCAGAATTTTAAATATAATATAATGTACTGAGTTATATTTATTATGTTATAATGTTTGTTGGTGATGGAGTCAATTGTTGAAGATATTTTTAATGTAAATATTATGTTATGTTTAACTATATATCTTATAATTATGATTATGTTAAAATTTACAATTACGCTTACAACTCTTTGAAATTATTAAAATATCAGAAATAAACACAATGCTCCCAGCGTAGCTGGGACTTTTGCTAGTCATCATCATCATACTCATAAAGAGCCAGTATAATAATAGCATATACTGGCGACACTTATTCTGGGCATATGCCAAAATCTAACGGCTGAGATTAAACAATGAAGAGCCCTGACTTTTGGGATCATAAAAAATTTCAATTCTCTTTTAGGGCGCGTGAGCATGAGGAGAGAGCGTCAATCACCGCTTGCGGGAAGGCACTCTCTCTCTCTCTCTCTCTCTCTCTCTCTGTTTGTTTCTCTGTTTGGAAAGGTTTGAGAGGCTCACGGCTTTCTCTGTGTCACCATAGTTGTGCTCGATGATCAGCGAGAACAGGCTCGACGCCTTCCAGACTTACGCGGGGAACAAATCCGCCAGCATCCGCCTGCGCAGGTGCATTTGGTAGATCGACGTCGGAAATGTGATGAGGATTGGGAGTGAAAGGCGAAGAGGCTCTGATGGAGCGCACGACAGGGACGACGTCTCAGACAACGAGGGGATTCACGTTGTCATCGACGACTAGAATCAAGGTTCTTCACTCTCTTGCTCGTCGCTATTCTTTTTTCGAGTCTCTGTTTGTTCCAGGTTCTCGAGGCTGGAACCACGACTAGAATCAAGGTTTTTCACTTTCTTGCTCTTCGCTATTCAACCGAAAATATGGTTTTGATCATGTTTTGGTGGGATCGTGCAGGGACGTACACCTGGAGCAAGCCTGTGATGAAAAGAACGCACCCTTCTCCTCGGGACAGCCACAGCTCCACGGCCGTCGGGTCTAAGCTCTATGTGTTTGGTGGTACTGATGGAACCAGCCCGCTAGACGATCTCTTTGTTTTGGATACTGGTAAGCGAGTTCTATCGATTTTTTTTTTCTTGTTCTTATCTTCCGATGCAGCTACCAACACCTGGGGGAAACCTGACGTTTTTGGTGATGTTCCTGCTCCGAGAGAAGGACATAGCGCATCTCTCATCGGTGACAACCTGTTCGTGTTTGGGGGATGTGGGAAATCCAGCGATCCCTCAGAGGAGGAGTACTACAACGACCTCCATGGTTTGAACACGAGTAATATCCTGTTATCTTTCCTGGTTTTCTTCTAAACTCTTTTTTTTCCTGTAGATACTTTTGTCTGGAAGAAGATTTCTACCACTGGAGTCTTGCCTATTCCTTGGGATATCCATACCTACTCTTCCTATAAGAACTGTTGCATTGTCATGGGTGGTGAGAACGGTGGTAATGCCTATCTATATGACATTCATATTCTGGACACAGGTACATACATTGTGCTGGTTTTAAACTTGCGAATTCATTTGTGTTTCCAGAAACAATGGCATGGCAGGAGGTAAAGACGACTGGTGCCGAGCTGATGCCAAGAGCTGGTGAACGCAGAGCGAGGCATATTATTCTTCTATGGGGGATGTAACGAAGAGCTTGAAGCTCTGGATGACATGTATTTCGTCGACACAGGTTGGCTTCTTCTTTTATTGACATTGCTGCTGACAATATGGTTGCCGTTTTTCTGTGAAAAGATGATGAGGGAGAAAGATCCATCAGAACCAAAGCTACCCATGCGTAAGGAACTTAAGAGATCGTGCCACGCCATTCGTGCTAGACAAGCAACGGGATGCGGACAAGAGCTTGGTTTCATCTCACGGAGGTATCTGCAGAAAACCTTGGACCTCTCCAAATTTTCTCTGTCAAACTCATGCTACAGAGTTTCAAGCTCACATTCAGCCACTAGGCAAGAAAATGTTCGAGGCTAGAGTAAGCGACGTATTCAACTACGGATACACGTAGAAGCCTCCATCGATGGGAAGCT